AGAGATTAATTACCGAGATAATACAAATAGTCCAAGAGCTACCCAACAAAATGTGATGTCAAGATATACACACCATTTTTTTATATGCGGTAGATCTTTTTCTGCCGATGCTAAATTATCCTTGCTATCGGCAGGTACGTGGGGCATATAAAAGTTATGGATTTTCCAAACAATTACTAGCGACGAAAGCCGCGCTTCGCGCGATTATTTTTTGACTCATTCACGTGCTATTCAAGTAAAAATTTTGGATATATTTTGAAATTCAAAAGGAATTCGACATTCTATATTTATTTATCAAACAATCAATCAAACTATTAATTCAATACATTATTGGACCCATATTTTTAACCGTGACGCATGCAAAAGTAACGAACTATAATCAAAATATTATCTCACGAGAAATGAAATTTGATGAAATATACACTTCCAATTAATTTATGACACCTATATCAAGAAACAAATTACATCTTAGAATTAGAGAATTAACAACGAACCGCAAGTCGCACGACCCACTCGGCTTTGTATTATAATCCATCCTGGCTACAGCTGTCAGCTGCTTGCGTCGACTCGAGAATCCAGATATTTGTGGCTATTCCACGAGGATATGCACTGATGAAAACGTATGCCCTTTTGAATTTAAGCTATTCTTGCGATTTAAAATCGATATGCGAAAGGGCATACTTATATGTTATCGCATCATTATGAAAAAAAAAAAAAAAAAATTCTTTGAAAATTCATAACTTTTGTATGCCCCAACTACATGCCGACAAGAACGCGGTGCATTAGTATCGGCAGAGAAAGATCTACCACATAAAAAAACGGTATCTTATGACACCACATTGGGGGGGTAGCTCTTAGATTATCAGTGTAGTGTCGGTCGAGAATGAAAATATTTACCTAAGACTTGTAAATGAAGCATTGACTAGATTGACTAGCAGTATCAGAGAATGAAGTGAAAACAAGGACAACCCCTTCGGTAAACTTCAATCTTTGTTACAACTAGTTATTGAAACGTATGAAGTAGTGGATAAACGATCAATTCTTCAGGACATTGAACTGTAAATACTGTAGCATGTATTTTATCGCAACGCCATTCTTCTAAATTATTGGTTTCCTCTACAATGTTAATGCCTAGTGAACTGCTCTGAATTCCTGACGCAACAAATGAATCTTTCTTCATTTCACATGTTTTTCCAGTGATATACATATATATATATATATTATTATTAGGTTTGAAAATACTAACAACATTAATGACGATACCATAATTAAACATAACGCAACTATTTCTGTCTCGTTGTAAATGAAGCATTGACTAGCAGTATCAGAGAATGAAGTGAAAACAAGGACAACCCCTTCGGTAAACTTCAATCTTTGTTACAACTAGTTATTGAAACGTATGAAGTATTGGATAAACGATCAATCCTTCAGTACATTGAACTTTAAATACTTTAGCATGTATTTTATCACAAGGCCATTCTCCTAAATTATTGGTTTCCTTTACAATTTTAATGCCTAGTGTACTGCTCTTAATTCCTGACGCAACAAATAAATCTTTCTTCATTTCACATCTTTTTCCAGTGATATATATATTCTTATTAGTTTTGAAAACACTAACAACATTAATGATGATACCATCATTTAACATAACCCAACTATTTCTGCTATCTGTGATATCAATTCGAAACGTGTCTGATTTTAAAATTTTATAATAATATGCATTTGGGTGGTCATTGACAATTACAGTGTTGGATGTCAGTTTTTCAACATCAAACTTACTATTCTTAGAAGCATATTGACTTTTTAAATTACTTGTTGACTCATATTCAGACAACCTTCTAGAAATTTGTTGCAACGGTTTCTCACCTTTTCTTATATATTTCTTTATAGAACAAATATAATTCTCGAATGGAAATGCGCTAAAGCTTTCAACTGTACCAAATTTGTCGACGTCTTTGCATAAATGTCCTATATTGTGGACATTGTAAGTAACATTGTTTTTCCCATACAATGTTTGAAATCCAAAAATAAATTTCATTGCTAAGGTTTGACATAATTTTATATTATTTTTATCACGAACCAATATTTGATTGCTGAGTATTATCATAATTATATGAAGTGTTAAAAAATTTTCATATACTGATGGATGAAGTACATCTTTGAGTATAAACGGACCAAAATACAGCAAAAAATGTCTAAATTCAGTTGCCTTCCACTTTTTCCAGTAGTCCAAAGATCTTGAACGTCTATTAAATTCAAATGGTAACATGTTCTTTAAATATTCCAGTCTCTTTGAAATTTTGTTAATCTTATTAATATTGAGTCTACATATTTTTCTTATTCTTTCTTTGTCACCAATCCAGTGTCTAATTAACTGCTTCATTATACCTAAATACACTAAGTGCATGACATCTAAAACTACATTTGAAACAAGACCAAAGTAACGTAACCGTCGAAAAATCGTTTCCCCACGTTGATAATTGTCAATATAATGCATGCTATTGAATTCATCATCATTTCTCAAGAAATCGTTGCAATATCTGTTTAATTCTTCTATATTATCTGTGGGAAAGCAAACTGATGAAATATATACACCTTCAATAGTACATTTACTACAACTATAGTAACCCGAGTGACCTTTAGTACATAAAACGAAAGATTTAGCTGGAGCGTCCAAAATAAGTCTATCTAATCTTATTTTGTATAGCTTATTATTATATGAAAATCCATTGCTTATTAAATTTTCTAATTCATCTACAGTATTTTTTAAAAATATATTGTGATCATTCGGCTTTTTAGTACCACAATAGATGCCAACTCCATATACAGTATCTAGTTCAATATCTTTCATCGATATGATCCACAGACCTCTCTCAGATGAACTGCCAACAAGTGGAGCCCCATCTATATTCATTGACACTTTTACAGTATCGAAAACATCCTTACGCAAAAGACGAGCTTCGATAATTTTTTTAATTCCATTTTCAACACCTAGATGACAATACTCGCCACTATCCATATCGATAATATTAGTGGATTTTGGAGTTTTTAACAGTGTACGCGGATCTTTAGGGAACGGAGTACTAGTATTCTTATTTAATATCGCTAATAATAATTTCAAATGATCATGTTCAATTAGACAATCCTTGGCCCACTTAATTATTTCCTTCCGAAAATTTTCATCGTCATTAGTTGTAGGATTTGGCATTGTTACATCAAAACCATCATCCGAATGTACGTCTGAAATGGATTCCGCATCACTATCGCTAAACCGATATGCATCAGAAGAAGAGTATGAGTTAGTATCACTGTCGGTTGCATCATCATCGTCAGAGTTATCGTCATTCTCATCACTTGAAAGAACATATTCAGGCTGAACTTCAAGTGCGCTTGTTGAGAAGTTGTTGTGCGCGAAAAATTTACTAAACAAATTTTCGTGAGATTCATCGCTATCATTTTCTCTGGTTTCAGGACATTCACTTGTTAAAATATCTGGTTCAAATGTTTGATCATTACATGGGGTACTACAACCCGCCTTAGCATTTGGAATAGAAGATGTAGAACGAAGGTATTCAATGTTTTGAAGGTCGTACTCAGTTGTTTTTATAGATAACCTTCTAATATGACGGTTGCTTTCTGGAGGGACTCCTTTTCTCTTCCTTGGCATTTGGTTCAATTCAACTAAATAAAAAAAAATCAATAACGCTTTTATGCTTCAACGTTGGATATAAACATTCAAGAAACGTAAGTTACTTTAAGGGGACCAGAGGGTGTCCCGTAGTGAAAAATTGACACTTTGTTTATTGCCGCGTAGAAATCGTTCTACTAAAGATATCGATGTAAGACTTTTTTCAGCTGAAAGAATTCTATATAAGCTTTGATTTTTTTGCTACAAGTTCCAGAATAATCATTGTACACCTAATATGGACACAACAATGACCAAGCTCTATTTTTCAAAAAATGGAGCTTTGCCACGCCTTTCTGAACGCCATAGTGGACAAAAATCGTTTTGTGAGAGCTCATTTTTTTTGTTATGAACCGGACTACAGAATGAGCGGAGCACTTTTCTAAAAAAGATAATTCTTCCTATTTTTTGAAGATAATTTGCAAAAAAAATTTTTTTGAAAAATTAAAATTTCATATATTGGCTCAAAAAAATAGGAAGAATTATCTTTTTTATAAAAGTGCTCTGCTCATTCTCTAGTCCGGTTCATAACAAAAAAAATGAGCTCTCACAAAACGATTTTTGTCCACTCTGGCGTTCAGAAAGGCGTGGCAAAGCCCCATTTTTTGAAAAATAGAGCTTGGTTTTTGTTGTGTCCATATTAGGTGTACAATGATTATTCTGGAACTTATAACAAAGAAAATGAAAGCTTATATAGAATACTTTCAGCTGAAAAAAGTCCTACATCGATATCTTCAGTAGAATGATTTCTACACGGCAATAAACAAATGTTAGCGATTTACACGTATAGAACAAGTGTGCGTGCGTGTGTGTACGACCGGCGGGCGAGAGAGAACGATACAGTTCCAGGGACGATTCCGAATTGCGCTGATAGAGCGTGCGAGCGAATCAAGCCAAGAGAGGGTAGTCGGGATGCGAAGGCATTTGGCCGAGAAGCGCGAGTTATCCCCCCTCCCTCGAGACTCAAGCGAGTTGGGCCATTGGCGTGGGTCAGAGAGGTCTGAGACGCGACAAAGGTCGGATGCGTGTAGGACTCAGCGACTGAGTGCCGAATAGTTGTAAGCCCTTGTATTCATATCTTTTAAGTATTCATTAAAACTACTTAATTCAATTGATACATTTGATATATTGTGCAAAGGAAGCTAAAATCTATCGTAATGCAATGACTGTAGCACATTTTTTTATTTCGTCGAAGATTTCTTTTCATTCCCATAAAAATATGTAAAAACATCAGTTTTTCGGATATTTCAAAGATAAATCAATGTTGTAATTGTTTCTTCAACGTAAAACTAAGAATTATCCTTACAAGGCAAATATGATGAAAAATATATTGGATAAGGAGGATACTAGAAATCAAGTAATTCTAACCAATGTTTTCCAAGACTTCTCTCAGCCTGACATAACAGACTACACAATTCTACACATTGCAGCAATCAAGAGAGATGTTGAGGCATTCAAAATCTTAATAGACAATAGAGCTGATTTCACGATGCAAAATGCGCATGAATTTACAGTGCTTCACTACCTTTTTGAGTGCACAGCTGATAATAGCAGAATTGAACTGATAAATTATGCATTATCAGCCCATTTAAAATTAGCAAATTCAAGTAATCCTTGTAACAACAATGGTATTACCCACTTTCACATTGCGTGCATGGTCAACAATACCCAAGCAGTGCAGTTCTTTCTGGAAAATGCAGCATCTGTGCGTCTAATTGTGAAAATGGACTCGCCTAGATTTCCAGGCTACAGCTCTTTACACTTCGCTTCTGAGGGTTGTAGCATTGAGACAATAAAACTGCTTTTAAAGAATGATATAGATATAAATGTAAAAAATGCTCAAGGCAGAACAGCTTTGCATATTTTTGTACAACAAAAAATTAATTTATGTGATTCTTTGAGATACAGCGAAATAGATGCCACCACAGTGGTTTTGGACAAAATTGATTTGATGGATAACGCAACCAATCTGTTGCTACCAGACAATGGTATAGATAACGTGGGTTTTTCTCAGTTCCATAGTGCATGCACAATGCGAGAATCTACAGTAGCTGAAGATCTTATAGAGCAAGTGACAGACATCAATCGTTGTGTTCTGTTTGACTCTCCAGTGTGGCCTGGTTATACAGGTCTTCATTTTGCTGCTCATTATAACATGAAAATCTTTCAAATGCTTGTGCAAAAGATAAAAGCTCGAACTTTCAGATGTTACGTAGAAAAATATGGGTAGCCGTGGAAAACTTTGAGATAATTTCAGAAAACCACTGAAAATGACCACTTTCTAGGTTATGTACGTTAAACAAACTCGCAGTTATTACTCTATACGTCATAATACAATATTTTATATGTTTGGAAATTGCATTATTCGATAATACGTTGCTTTGAAAACCGTTGTAACATTATTGTAGCAGTTGATAAAAAAGTTTATTGTTCGGTTGTGCCTTTGATTTCGGTGGTAGTCGCTGGAGCCCTCTTAATTGAAACCGTATACAAGAAAAACAAATAGTCAACTGTCAGCTTAGGCCTGAATAATTTTGGGTTACTGATAATCATTTTTTTCACATAAACATTGAACTACGATTGTTCAATTGTTTGTATTGTTGAGATTTTCTTTGCATTAATTACGACCCCGTGAATTGCAATAGATTAACAGTGATTTTATTAAAATATTCTTCTGAATTAAGTGTAGAGATCGAGGCCTGCAATGGCTCGGTCGGTAGGGCGACGGACTCGCACCCGGTAGGCCCGGGTTCGATTCCCAGTTCCTGCTGATACAAGCACCTCTGAAAAAAGTTTCATGTGCTTTGTTCTCAAACACATTGCAAGCCTCCGTCGCTAATTAGCACTGATGGAGCATAAATAGAGCGACGTTAAAAAAAAAAAAAAAAAAAAAGTGTAGAGATCAAAAATATTGATATTGGTGTACTTAACAAGTCTATGTACTTTATTTTGTCTCAACTTCAAAATTGAGAGAGTTGATTTTTGACGTTAAAAGCCACATAGAAAAATCATACAAAACTTTGAATTACAACGTCTTGCATAAAAAAGAGAGAGAGAGAAATAGAGATAGAGAGAGGAAGGAAATCCCAACCTCATATCTTTTATGCAAGACGTTGGAATTCAAAGTTTTGTATGATTTCTCTATGCGGCCTTTAACGTCAAAAATCAACTCTCTCAATTTTGAAGTTGAGACGAAATAAAGTATATAGACTTGTTAAGTGCACCAATATCAATATTTTTGAGTTTGATTGATTTTTGACACACACACACACACACACACACACGCACGCACACCCACGCACGCACGCACACACCCAATAGTTAAAAGATTTATTGCGTCATATTTTAAATAATAATAAATATATAAGGCGACATCTAATGTATCAGGTAATAAATCGTATTAATAGAAATATGTATACACATATACAAATATATATGTAAGAAACGCTGAAAGTAAGATCCTCAAACCGTATTCGAGAGGCGTAAGCGACAAAATTTGGGAAAAAGTAATAAAATTTGACCAGCGCGTGAAGGTTGTGAGGGGCGGGAGTTCGAGCGATCTCGGTGACAATACCGTTAATGAACGAGTGCTAGCTACGTGTGACGCAGACGTGTCCCATCATATTCCTTTTAGGTTCTTCGAAGCCCTGCGTCGTAAGCCGTTCTCGAGTTCGTGCGCGATTGTTTACAATTAATGAACCGGGATGTTGAATGTATGTGCCTCGTCTTTTTGCCGCTCCTTGTCTTGCTCATGGACGTGCGCGAGCGCTTGGAAGGCGTACTCGTGGCCGTGATGCCCCATCAGCTTTGAGGAGTTATCTCCTGGAGGCTGAAGAATTGAGCAACAATCAGCGTTACGTAAGTTGTGTAAATACGGGAAGGGTAATCACATGTTACCCGAGACCGGCAAGCAAGCAGACAAGGGAGCGGATAAGCGAGAGTGAGGGCGAAAGATCGAATGGAGGGGCAAACGAAGAAACTCGCGTCCGGACTGAGCGTAGAAGGTTTCCGCGGTTGGTTTCTAAAATCTTTTGTTCGGCAAGCGTGCTGCGACCCAAGCGACAACCATATGCGCGACACATGAACCATTAGATAAGTAGGGTATTAAATAAGATATATAGTGCTGTAAAAGTTTGAGCGACATGTGTGACTGCTGGCAGGTCTTATCTTCGGTTAGTTTCCTTAACGTTGCCTGCCGAAAACCTGTAGCGCTTCTAGCGGAAGGATTCCGCCGAGCGAGGCAGAGCATGAAAGAACCAGCACTGTTGATCCAGCCAGCAAGCGCGCAAGTCCCTCATTCTTGCTCTCGGGAGTTTATTGTAAACTAAATAATAAAAAAACTAAGAAAACTCATTTTATTATTTCCTGCTCACCTCACCCTTATCAATTGATGCCCCGGGTGAGGAAAATCGTAAATTTGAACAGGAATAGTTTGAGTATCTGTGTGTCTCTTTTTACGAACTTGTCGAAAGTGTTATCTACAATGGCACCAAGAAAACGCCGTACAACGCAGCAGCCTGCGACACCACCGCCCGTAAAACGACGCGCACGACAGCAGCCTGAAAGACAAAATCTCAACAACATCGTAGCACCGTCAGCGAATTCTACGATGAGGGTTACACGCTCTGGCCTGCAATCAAGTCCTAATATTCATGGTCGAGAGCAAGCACCGACACAACAACAGCAGCTTCAGCAACTGCAACCGCAGCCACAGCAGCAGCAGGTGCAGCAACAACTGACGTCTGTTCATCATAGTTCATCTCAACGACAGCGTCCCCTACCCGACTACCCGGTCGACGTCGACACCATCATCTCCGTCGCACAGCAGACCGAAACTCCCAACCGAGCGAGAGGAAGATTCAACAGCAGCGCTAACGACGACGACGACTTCGGCAGAAGTAGAGGTAGCGTAACTGGTGAGCTAAGCAACGACCATATGGGTGCGCCTGAAAATCCGTTCCATTTGTTATCTAACACGCTAGTCGATGCGTTGCGTGCATTTCGCGAAGAGAGTATACAGGGAAGTTTGCGTGTAGAATCTCTAGATTCCGTTAGGAAGTTGCCGGAATTTAGTGGTGACCCGTTAGAGTGGCCACATTTTAAAAAGACTTATGAAGAATCCGCAGCAAAATTCAGTGACCGTTGCAACATAGGTCGTTTAAAGAAAGCCCTGAAAGGCAAGGCAGCCTCGTTAGTTGGAATATATTTAAGCTGCGCAGATAATCCGGCATCGGTTATGAGTACGTTGGAAAAACATTACGGAAATAGTCGACTAATTGCGAAAGAAATAATGAAAGAATTAAACTGTTTGCCGTGTTTAAAGTCGGAAAAATGTTCTCTAGCTATTTTCGCAACTAAATTGTCTCATGGTATTTCAGCGTTAAAATCGATGAAATTAAATGATAGATTGACTAGCTCATATTTATGGAAAAGCGTAATAAATAAAATTCCTGATAACTTGAAAACTATGTATAGCCATTTTGCTGATGAAAATTCGGATTTAATGACCGATCTTACGTCTTTAGAAAAAGTGTCAAAGTTCTTGAATAGAGAATCTGATTTAGTACTGCGATCTGATATTTTCGACATTGAAGAAAGTATATCTACTAGCGGCGATAAACGATCAAAGGTATATGGAAGGCAGGAGAAATACTCGAGAACGGCTGTCGTGTGCGCGACAGTACATGAGGAACACGGGGATGATCGACGGGATAAAATAATTGAAAATGATAGGTGCATGCATTGTAGCCGAAAAGGGCATAAGGTATCTGAGTGTAGGGATTTAAAAAATGAAACAACAGATCGGCGCTGGTTTTTAGTCAAACGAATGCGCCTTTGTTTTAAGTATCCCGAGAGCGGGCATTCTCGTCGGCAATGCGAGTCACAGGTTACTTGTAATGTGTGTCGAAAACACCACCATACAATGTTGCATTTCTTCAGGAACAACAGGGGCGGAAATCAGCTGAGTGATGATAATAGAATTCGCCTGCAAACAATCGCGTGCACGGAAGCGAAAACGCATGACTAGGTTCAAGGAAAGGGGTATTGCGCATCATACCGGTTACTGTAATAGGCGAAAATATTTCGAGGACTACGTATGCATTGCTTGATGGAGGGTCGACTATTACAGTAATTGAAAAAGAGTTTGCTCGGAAACTTGGTTTGCGTGGAGTACAAATGAAAATGTCGATTCGAGGCGTGTGGAGTGGGGAAATGAACGCTAAGTGTGAACGATTGAGTTTTGACGTGGAAGGGGAATTTGGTGTCAAGAAAATCGCGCACGCACTAGCGGTATCGAACTTAGACTTACCAATCCAATCATTTTGTAATGAACTTTCGCAATACGTAGAGAACGGGGATAGAGAAACATAGGACGGGGATCAACGTGAAAACGTATTTCAATGCGCGCCCTCTCATTCTAATCGGCCAAGACAATTGGCAGTTTCTTGAAGTGCAGGAGTCTCGGATAGTAAAAGACAGCGGCCTTATCGTTTCGCGATCCGAGTTAGGTTGGACGGTGCATGGTTACATAGAACAAAGTAAAATTGTGAGGGTAAACTCTAATGTACATGCAATGCTTTCTATCTCGAATCCGGCGGAAAGCTCGGAACAGCAAAGCTTGGCAAATTTAGATCGGCTAATTCACAAATATTTTGAGTTAGAAATTTGGGTGTAGCCGCGACCAGTATAAAAAAGGATCAAGAGGAAAGGGCGATAAACATTTTACGAACGACAACACGTAAAATTGGCAAACAGTGGGAAACGGGTCTATTGTGGAAGTCGGATTCTATACCGGATATAGATAGTAAAGCGACGGCGTTTAAAAGACTTCATTCACTCGAGCGGAAGCTAGATCGAAACCCTGCGTTCGCATCACTTTATTATCGGGAAATGCAACGTTTAATTGATAATAAATACGTAGTGAAGGTCTCGAAAGACTTGCGTAGACCGCGGATCTGGTATGTCCCTCATTTCGGCGTTGAAAATATTAACAAGCCTAATAAAGTGCGATTGGTATTCGACGCGGCCGCGAAAACGGAAGGAGTGTCTTTAAATGATCAACTAGAAACCGGGCCGGATTTATTAGAGTCATTAATAGGGGTCTTATTGAGATTTAGACAGTATTCGATTGCAGTTAAAGCAGATATTAAGGACATGTATTTGCGCGTTAAAATTATCGAATCGGACAGAGGAGCGCAACGATTTTTATGGCGTAGCAAAGACCGAAAC